GAAAGTATCATCTACTGGACACATATAAACAAATAAGGCAATATGTCAATTTCACATAATCATTGTAAAAATAGACATATACACCAGTGGAAGTTATGATGGAGTGGGGAAGAAATGTGACAAAAATTGCCCAGCTATGCTATACAAGCAGCCGTAAATACTGTAAAATTAAACAAAACCAAGAAATGTAATTTACATGTCTCCCAATAGTATTTACATGGTACTTAATTGTTACTATTATTTTTCCATTATCAGCACTGCAGTTATAACCCAGTAATTCAGGACACCAAAGATACACATGTACAAAATATGGCAATGACATATCAAAGATTTAAACAATTATTAGTTAACATTTTCCTGCCTCAGTAGTTTGAATCTAAACAAGCTGACTGAACAACAGCTCAACATTTTATCCAATTTTATTTTATAAACCCTATCAAATCTGGCAACACTGCAAGGTTCAACAGGAGTAAACTAAACTAACTCAAGTCTCCACAAAACGTTGGCATAATATTTTCCATGTTCTTCAGTTGAAACCTGAGTTTAGAATGAAAGTTAGTTCTATCTTCCTGGCTGTAGCACTGTTCCATAGATTACAGCCAGCCAACCACAAAGAGCAGGATATGCTCATTTGAAATGCCACTGGCTCTCTTCAGGATCATAGACACTGTCAACAATACCCCTGTTCCTGTTCTATGTAGTCCTGCAGGCATGCACATTAATGAAAAGCTAAAGAAAAATAATAATTGCTTTGTTTTAAATCATTCCAGGATTTTACATCATCCCAGCTGCCAGTACTCTATCCACCCACCCTTAAATATCTTGGGACTTTTGTTCATTGCTGAAACCACTGCTGTTGTCACTAGGCTGAATTCTGCCTTCCCATTGGTGTAATTCAGGCTTAAATCTGCTGAAGTCATACCAGCAGTTAAATGCCAGCACAAGGAATCTGTTTATCCAATCAAAGATTCAAGTCTGGCAGGACTTAACCACAGACAGCTGGACATAGTGAAAGGTCATTCTGTTCCTCCTACCATAAAGTTCTGAGGCCACTCAATAACTTGGTTCATACATAATGCTAAATCACAGCTTAACATTCAATGTCAGATTTTTTACACTACAGAACTGGTCCTTTCTCCTTTTGGTGTAGCCACAAGCAGGAGATAAGAAGTTTCAACTACACCTTCCAACTAACCACTGTTTCTCATTATGTCCATACTACACACTCCAGTAGAACTGCAATCCATTAATTTAGGATCATTAATCCCAGTTTGAAATCTGCTTGTTTCATAGACACAGTTAATACTAATCACAGTTTATCCAAGCTTGTACTTAACAGTAAACTTTAATTATTTGGGAGCAGGAGGAGAGAAAAAACTAAAAGTTCAGACACATCATACTTCTCTTCATGTTCAAACATCAAAGACTTCAACCAAGTCTTCCTGCAGCCAGTCTTCAGCACCTTACCTCCTATACCACCAGCACTCTGGATCCAGAAGACTATACAATAGGGGTCAATAAGCACTAGCTATTTAAAAGCCCTTGCAGGCCATCCATTTTATCAACTGGAAAAACCTAAGTGGAATTTGAAGGCTCTGCCAAAGAATCTTCAACTATACTGTCAAACCCACCTGTAGCCTTTCAGGGATGTAATCGCTGAACAAACAGTAGTAAGAACAGTACTGCTACCAGTAGTATGACTGACACACATTATACTTCCAATTTTGTTTCAGCCCGAATCTCCAAAGATTTGCAGTATTAAAAGAAAGCTTCCTTATAATAATATAGTCTTTTAAATAATCATTTTCTCACAAAAGGTGAAGCTGAATGTATAGAAACAGCACTGCATAACTGGAAGCTCTTGCAGTTAATGCTGAGCAGCTAGCACTGAATGTTTAAAGGAAATACAACAAAACAAATACTGTAAAAGCATTCAGGTGAAACACCATGAAGCCCTGTTTTCAAGGAAAGATATCTGATAATTTCCAAGCAACAGCTTAAGGGACAGTCAATAAACTTTATCATGTAAATTTCTCAGGATTCATATTCTAAGGCCATAATCAGGTGACCATTACTGCAATGTTGTTCATGCCCACACTGATCTTACTCCATGAAACCACTGCAGATGACTGCATGCTTGAACTTTATTATTAGATAATACACACCAGGTAAAACATATAGAGCAGCATCTACATTATTGTGGGGTTTTTGCATGCACAATTCACATGTACCAAACAGACCTGGGAGAATTGCTAAAAGTGATGAAAACAGAAGCAATCTTACTGTTTTAGTATATGTTACCAGAATAGGGCTGCTATCTTATGCAGACTAAGGAAGATTAAGACCCACTGAATTCAAAATACATGGCTCTGAATAAAAATACAGTGGTGCCTCGACTTACGACCATAATCCGTTCCAGAAGATGGACGTAACTTGAAATCGTCGTAGGTCGAAGCACCATTTATTTCCCATAGGAATGCACTGAAATGCAATTAATCCATTCTGGCTGAAGAAAAAAATCACCCCAAAAATATCACTGCAAGACTCATTGGAAACGCGATTAATCCCTTCCGACCGAGGGAGGGGGGAGAAAAGCAATCAACTGTGCAAGAACCATTGGAAATGCACAGAAAACAAATGGAACAGATCGGAAATGCACAGAGAACAAAGGGGGCAGGTCGGAAATGCAAAAAAAAAAAGAGGAAAAAGCAAGGGAAGCATGCAGGACCCATTAGAAATGGGGGGAGCCAAAAAACAAACAAACCCCCAAGACCCATCGGAAATGGGGAAAATCCCCCAAAATAACAATCAAACCCCCCAAGACCCAATGGAAATGGGGGAAAAGCCAAAAAACAAATAAACCCCCCAAGCCCCATTGGAAACGGGGGGAACCCCCAAAAGCTACCAAATCCCCCAAGGCCCATCGGAAATAGGAGAGGAAAAAACCAAAAAACAAACTCCCCAAGACCCATTGGAAATGTGGAAAATAATACCGAAAAAGCAACAAAAACCTCCAAGATGCATCAAAAATGGAGGGGACAAAAAACAACCCCCCAAGTCCCATCAGAAATGGGGGGAGCCAAAAAACAAACAAA